AGACCAAAATCAAATTAATTGATAATAAATAGATTAATGCCAAAAAAAAAATACAAAAAATATTTTTTTCTCCTTTCTTATCTTCACTCAATCATATTAGAGTGTCAAGCTTGTAAAGCTTGAAATTAACAACCATCACGATTGGGTGAAGTAGAATGCGTCTGCCTTTGTCATCAAGACTGGGAGCACTACTCAGTGGCAGGCCACTGACTTAGCTCCAAAAGAATGTATCCCTGGATTAGGAGCCCTTACAAGGTACTATCAGCCGGGCCAGCTAAGCCCAGGTTTTTTTAGTGAGCTTGTTACTGCTCCCCCTCCTCCTTTTTCATCCTGGCTTGGGACCGGCAGAGGCGGAGTTTTTTTTCTTTCAGGTGAGAAACTTTAGGCATTGGTGAAAAGTGTAAATATATATTCTGGAAATGAAAAAAAAAGGATAAAATAAATCAGAATATAAATTTACAAACTATATTTCAGAGGAGACGATTTATAATAGGAATTCATTTAAATGACCTCATTAAAAACTACATTTTATATATACTTGGGTTCAACTTTACATGTATGCTATCCAAAGTTCGCACACTTGAAAAAGTCACATAAAGTCGTCTGTGCGTAAACACAGGCTCTTGTAGCAAAGGTTTGGCCTTGAGCCCTCTTTATAGTCATATATTTCAGACATTATACAGTGTGTTCAACTTTGGGTACTGTCAGTATATGTGCTTCAAGGACATGAGAGCACATGCGCTAGAACACCATACCTGTTCCATCGCAAAGATCCTATAGGCATTGGTGAAAGTGTAAATAAATATTTTGGAAATGAAAAAAAATTGCAGATATGACAACATATTAAAGGAATAAATTCATTTAAAAGACCTCATTAAAAACAACAATTCTATATTTTTATATATACAATATAATATAATTAATTCAACACACGATAATTCGACCATTTTTGGATGTCTCGACCTACGGCCTATCATATGACAAACTAATTCGACACTTTCGATAAAATCATATAACGAATCCCCCCGACTATCTGTAATATCCCCTCTAAAAAGAGAATTATGTGCATTAAAGTCCCCCATTATTATATTAATATATGAAAATTTTCTAATATTATCTGTCAAATTTATCAAAAGATTTGTAAAGATACTGTCATCTTGACTTAAATCTAAAGGAGGAACATAACAATTATATATTTGTATCTTAAAATCATTAGGAAATGAAATCTGTAGCCCAATATGAAAATCTGTGGTCTCGGAACAAAAAACTCTATGTCTGGGATTTATCAAACTAATAATCTTACTGTTTTTATTTACTATTCTATGCCAAGATAATAATTTACTGTTACATCTATCTGGAGGAATCTCCTGAAGTAAGATAACATCAGCGTCTATTTGCGTCGCATGATGGATTAAATGATCGACTGCTATATAACCCCTCCCTACATTCTGAGAAATAATTTTAAAAGTCATTTAACAACTTTTAGGGCAAAAATTATATTTAATATAATAAAATAAATGTACAAAATCAAAATACCAAGAATTATCAAAATCTGTAAATGTATTTTGCAAAATTACTAAGAAAAGCATCACAGAATTGTATGAATAAGGCATCTCTGCATCTCCCCCAACAAAATTTCACCAACAAAGTCAAATATTCTAAATGTTTTTGGTATATAAATTACTAGATGTGCAAATAATATGTATATAAAAAAGCAAAGCCCAATTCTAAACCCAAATATTTTTTGTATGAGAAGAATATCAACATATTGCATGATTACGGCAGTTCATAGCTTCCCTGACAAAAATTCACCAAGAAAGTTAAATATTCCAAAATATTTCTGTGCATAAATTGCTAAATATATAAAAAACATGTATACAGAAAAGCAAAGCCCAATTCCAAACCCAAATATTTTTTTTTATGAGAAAAACATCAACATAATGCATGATTACGGCAGTCCATAGCTTCCCCGACAAAAATTCACCAAAAAAGTTAAATATTCCACACTTTTCTGTGTATATACTGCTAAATGTGTAAATAACATGTATATAAAAAAGCAAAGCTTAATTTTAAATTTCATTATCCTCTTCACAAGAAAAGCATCAAAATACTGCATAAGTACGGCACTTTTGCAGCCCCCCCGACAAAAAATCACTAAAAGAGTTAAATATTCAAAAAAAATATTTTGGTATATATATTGCTAAATGTGTAACAAACATGTATATAAAAAAGCAAAGCTTAATTATAAGTTTTAATATTTTTTTAATAAGAAAAGCTGCAAAAGCAAATAGGGAGAAGTGGGGCCATTTAGCCATTTTCAAAATTTGATTGGGAAAGAGTAAATAAATGAGTAAATAAGGACAAAAATAAAGAGAAAGTATTGCTAAATGTGTCACAAACATGTATATAAAAAAGCAATGCTTAATTCTAAGTTTTAATATTTTTTTAAAGAGAAAAGCTACAAAAGCAAATAGGGAGAAGTGGAGCCATTTAGCCATTTTCAAAATTTGATTGTGAAAGAGTAAATAAATGAATAAATAAGGACAAATATAGAGAGAAAGTATTGCTAAATGTGTAACAAACATGTCTATAAAAAAGCAATGCCTAATTCTAAGTTTTAATATTTTTTTATAAGAAAAGGTACAAAAGCAAATAGGGAGAATTGGAGCCGTTTAGCCAAGTTTAAAATTTGATTGTGAAAGAGTAAAAAAAAGAGTAAATAAGAACAAATATAAAGAAGAAATAATTAAGCAAAGGAAAGACAAGGGGAAAAAAGGGGAAAAAACTAATACTTACAAAATACAATTACAAATATACAAAACAAAAGAACGCGCTTTCAAAACAAAAGAATAGATGATGATAAATGCAAAAAATCTACGATTGTAAAATAGAGTAAATTAAAAAATAAAAATAACTGTTAACATTAGGAAAATAAAAACAGGCCTATCATACGAAGAAAAAAATAACGAAAATTTTGGTATATAGATCGTTATGTGTAGTTCAGAATCTTCGGAGGAGATAGCTCAGGACTTTTACAATGGAAAACTCTGTTACGGTATTATCTATATAGACAATATTATATTGCACATGGTGATATAGAAGGGATCTACTTGTTGGAACAACAAAAGGCATCATATTTAAAATTATATTTATAAATTTGTAATATATAATATGTATATATGGTTTTGACCAAGGACTTGGTTGTTGTTGTGTTATGTAATCAATATATAGCGTGAGATATTCATGTTTTTAGTTCTCATGATAATTGTGTAATAATAAAATATTATGCAAATATATAACTTTTCAGTAGCATATAATCTCTTTTAATAGAAACTACACTACCTAAGATTATTGAATATTAGGTAGAAGAGTATATAACAAAATTCAATTGCCATCTATCGATAAAATTGTGACAAATAAATTTACTGGCGATGTGTTTCGTGTAGAGATAATATTTGATGATATTATTGTAAAGAAATACATTGCCAGTAAATTTATTTGTTATATATTTAAAGTGTTTTCAATTTTTATAAATCACATATTTAGAAGAGAGCATAATTGAATAAAGAGATAAACACATTAAAAACAGGACTAAAATATGTTCACTTATTAAGCTTTTGGGAAATCTCTCAATAAGCAATGCATATAGTAACACACATACACACACTCTTAGAGAACAACGAAATATTTTAAATATTCCAAAATGATGCACTAAAGTATTGTAATTTTTTTTTTGTAATTTAGATCATCAATTTTGTTTGAGAATTCGATTAATTATTTACATACTATTATGCGATACAATAATAAAAACTAAGATCCCATGTGGCAAAATTTGGCTTTCATCTGTAGCCATGAATAAATTGAAATTTCAAAACAAAGCCTCATTAAAGATGTGTTTGCAACCCATCAGAAAAAGAGGAACTAAAACATTTTAAAATACAGAAATTAACTTTTACTAATTAACTAGAAAATATAAAAATATAGGCACAAATTAAATTTATCACCATATATAATCATATTTAAAAAATGTAACGAATGATATTCTGAAGTGTATGTCTGTATGTTTGTATATAGTCTTGTATTCAGAAATGTATCCTCAACCTGACAGTCTCCATGTGCAACTGCGCTCCTGCTCATGTGCTGTATTTTAATTCAGCAGAATTGTGTACGAAAGGTAAGAAGTATAAATAAATTGAAACTTATTATTTTATAAAACTATATCATTATATTCAATTAACATACAGAAGAGAGATATGCAATATGTTATAGAATATTATATATATGTGTGTGTTAAAAGTATATGAGAAATTAAGAATATATATGCATATTACAAATATTTTTATTGGATTTGATAAAAAAATTATTGTTCCCAATATTCCGAGGTGCAAATACCCTTTCTTTTATCGAATATAATATAAGCATCTATTATAATTATGGATAATAATATCATTCTGTATCTAAATGATTTGAGAAATGCAAAGGTGATTGTCTATCATGTTACACTGAAGTGGTCTATAGATATCATGGCAGACATTTCTGGAATAAAGAAGACAAAATCTCTAAAGAATTAGACCTGGCAAGTAACTCTCGGAACAACAAACTAGCAACAGAGAAGATTTTCATCAGCATGACATGCCGACAATATATCTCCTTATTAAAAAGGCTTCTATTATTGTGGATGATCGAGAACGTATCCATATTACAAGGTCAAAAAGGCGACCTTTTTATAAGTTGCGCCACTATATTCCAATATATTATTAGTCTCGATTGTATTCTGATTTCAATTTCAAATTCGCATGAAATTTAGCATATAAGGATATTTTTATATTATTTACTTTTTTGAGTATGTGTGTCCGTAATATATATTTTATCTGTTATTGAAAATAGGTTAATCTGAATGTTTGTGCATATGTACTATGCCTGCAGCTTTACAACATACTCAGGCATATGATCAGCTCTATAGCATGATTAGCTAAAAATAAAACTATTTGGAAAGTGCTACGCCCACACCACATTGAAAACACCGGTTCTCGTCCGATCACCGAAGTTAAGCAATGTTGGGTCCGGTCAGTACTTGGGAGGGTGACGACCTGGGAACATCGGGTGCTGTAGGCTATTAATTTTGGGATAATAATAAAAAGGGGGACTTTTTGAAAATTCCGGACGATCACATAAATCTTCAATAGAATGTGAAAAAATAGCACAAATGTGATATTGTACTTGGATAAGGTGCATAAATTATGAAAAAGGCATCTTCTTATCGTGCAACTGAAAGTTGCTGATGGCTTGCGCCATCTATCGGAATAAATATTTCAGTTGAACAATAAGAAGATCTTTTTCATACTTATATAGAATTAAGGCCGAGTCTATACTGATGAGGGTGATATCCCAAAACCATGTTCTACAGGTTGACCTTTAATTTGAATTTGCAAAAACTGGCTCTACACTCCGCGTTCTGTGAAAAGAAGATCAATGATGTAAATTCTTTTACTGCATTCATTGAACATTTATTATATATGAATATAGCAAACACTGAAAAATTAATAAGAACAATGCTAAATCTTCAGAATTTTTTTATTTTATGGGCTATTTTAGAATATATTTGAAATTGTTTCAATAACACACAGAAACTGAATGTTTATTGGTAAATATTGATACATAATACACTTAATACTATATATATATATAATTATTATATAATGTATATTGTAATATATATAATTAATATTATATTATGAATATTCATTGAAAATTGTAAATACAGAAACACAATGTAAACACTAAAATGGTTATTTCTGTTTCGAGAAAATTCCCTTTGCCTGGATCAGCTTGACGCAGAAGATTGTGAACTCGGATGCAAATCAGATTGCCAGTAAGATTCAGATTTATTCATTGAATTTCTACTAACGATGATCTTTTGCAGCATGACAGTATTCAAGTATAGAACATACAATCGATATGTTGAATTTACAGTAAGCAATCTTATGTGTAACTAATAATATGTGTTAAATCATTAAACATAAAAATATATATATACATTTATAAATATAATCTCTTCTCTGAATAAATATAATTTTTGAATTTATTTTCCCCCGCCATAAATTATCTTATAAATGCCAATATGACAGATTCACGTTTTTCAACACACCTGCTTTTACTAGTTTCAGAAATAGCATAAGTACTGAATTTTAATTTTTTCCTTCTTTTGTTATTTTTAGAATAGCTTTTAAAATATTAAGAACATATACGTAATAAAACAGCCAACCATTCTCTTTCGCTTCGGACAGTTATTAGCCGTTTATTCGCGACCTAGAATAGCCGTTTGCAGCGCTGTGCAATGAGGATTGGACCCCCTTCAGGCGGGAAGCCGAAGCTGGCCCAGCTGGCTAACACCACCCTCAGAGACTGGGCGCGCCAGGATGTCCCTGGGAAGCTACGAGATTCGGCTCGAACCCTATACGAAGCAGGTCGATAGATATTTATGGTGAAACATAACCGTGGAGGTGGCAGAGGATGGAACCCAGGACCCACTGTTGGCCGCGCGGGATTGACCCACCAGGCCGCAAGTGAAAGAAGACCACCTCGCGAAAGCTCGCTCCAGCACCACTTTAGGTGGGAGGCCTTGGAAGGCGGCTACCCTGTGCAGCCCAGTGAACTACTCGAATGTTCAGGTGATTCCCAGGAACCGCTCTAGAGCCGCAGCTTTTGCTGAAGTTTACAGCCACCCCGGAGGCATTGCGGAATTCTCCGAAGATCGGGAGCACGAGTTCAAACTGAGCGTCGTCCATGATGAAGATTAGAATTCCTTCTGCGTAGGCCACCATGCAACCGCGGCACAAAATCCTCTTGAGGCGGCATAGCAGAAGCCCAACTCCGATGTTGTAGAGGGCAGTGCTGAGGTTGCAGCCCTGCCTCACTCCGTTGATGAGCGGAAAGGCCTTGTTGTGGACATCTCCCGCATGAATGGCGGCATATGCTTCCCCATAGAGGACAGCAATCCACCCGAGGTAGGCAGGCGGATGGCCCAACTTTACCAACATGCCGTATAGGGGGTTCCTATTCAGGCTGTCAAAGGCCAACTTCAGATACAGTGAGAAGACAACCAACTGCATGTCATGCCTCAAAGCCCAGGGGAGTTTGCCAGACACTTTTGCAATGTTCCAGGAGGATGACCGTCTCGGAAAGGCTTACGTCTGACACTCGGGAACGGCGCAGGCGGCCCATGAGCACCCTGCTGAAAACCTTGTAATCGGTCGTTGGTAGGTTGATTGGCTGGATTGCTTGCAGACCTGAACCACCGTGCGGCTTCGGCAGGCAGATAACCTTGCTGCGTCTTGAAGATAGGTAAAGACCCGGCTAATCGAGAAGCTTCTAAGACTTGACAAAAACCATCTGCAAATAAATATTGAAAGGTTTTGACAAACTCCCAGGTCAATCCATCCCATCCCGAGGCACGGCCGATTTGGCTGGCGGTGGATGGCTGCCGCTATCTGTTCGCGGGAGATGTCGGCGAAAAGAGCTGGTCCTACTCGTCGAACGCCAAGGGGGTTACTTCAACGAGGAAGTCGGCGATGGCTTCAGCCGAGCTAAGAGCTTGGGCAAAGCGACTGCTCAAGCGTTCCCGAAGGAAACGTCTTAGCTGGCCCCCGGAGATGGCGTTGCCGTCGTCTTCGGTGAAAGTGGAAGGAGAGCAACGTCTGGCTCAGGGGGAACGCCCGAGGTCCGACAAGGAAGGATAGTCGGAGCGGGCAGTGTCGTCCTCCAGTCTCCGCCTCAGAAAGTGGCTTGCCCTCTCGATGTATCCACCTCCACACTCGGTGACGGCAGGCGCGAAGGACCGTATCCCCTACGAATCGATCTGAGAAATGGACACCTGCCCTTGCATAGATTCTTGTTGAAAGGTTAGAGTGTACTTATTCTAATTTCGGATCCTCGATAGAGTCAGTCCCGTAGTATTGTTCGTCTCTCTCTGTGTCAGGAGAGTGTAATTTTTACGCGCCAGAAAAAACATTCATGAAAGTGACAATTATAAAAACATTAAAGTAGACAATATGGAGTCTACTGCAACTTGACACCAAATTATCTATACGATTCTTTCTTTTACCCATCCTCTTTATAAATATTTTCTTTTCAATATTTAGCTGTTTTCATTTATATTTCAGTAAAACTTGTAATAATTTATGTATTTGTGTAAACTCCCGTATCATTCTATATATAATTTATATTCTATTATAAATTGTACAAAGAAACACTTATTAGGGTTTCTCTATAAGCAGTGGATATCATAAATAAGGTTGATTAATATGGGAATTGTGTTTTCTAGATTGAAAACTTCATGAGAGTAGGTGAATACGTGATAAGAAAACCTCTAAAGATAGATTTTGAATTTGGTGACTATAATTCGTAAGTTAAACTCCAATGTAATGTATGACTGAGACTAAACATTTGGTCCAGAGAATCCTTCCATGCGATAGCACTCATGAAGTCGAAAGAAGAAGTCATCCACTATATATATTCCCCCAGGTTTGAGGTGAGTTACTTGAAATTTATAAATATTTCATATATATATAATGTTGTAATATATTCCAATATATACTTATATCCCCATGTGTTATATAGTTACAATGCAATTACCAAAACGACAAAAATAAAAGTTCGATTGAATGACAGCCGTCGCCAGGAGAGGAAAAAGGTCCAAAAAACATTTCGGGGTACCAGGCGTGCCCCCCTCTTGCTCAAACAGATCAGTCCGCTTTGAGACACGATGATGGACAGACCCCTCTCTGCAGATCTGTCTTGACCGGTGTCGGCCTCATCACTCTCTCGCTATCTCTGTGGTGACATCCAACATGTCTCGTTCTTTGCGTGGTGCAATACATTCACGCCTGAAACCACTCTGAACATTGTGGCCACCACGACTGCAACCAACATGCCACACTAGAGTTACCCTACAGAACAACAAACTACATTACTACATATATATATATATATATATATATATATATATATATATATATATAATAACTAAACCCGGCGAGAACAACTTAGTAAATCCCGCAGGCCGGAATATAAATATTCTATTAAGAAAAATGCATGGTTTTATATCAAGGAATTTATATTCGAAACGTATAAACATTTTGGTAAGAAGACTGTTGCAAAAATAAAATACCTCTAAAGATTCACATATATATTAAGATATTTCAACTAAAACATAATATTTAATACCTCAAGCTTTCGGGCTCTGGCGCCCTTCTACAGGCCTATTAATAACTATCTAAAGCCTCTTCTATTATAAAACGAATATATATATTTATACTCTATGCTTTTTAATTAACTAAAGTAAAATATATTTCAATGATAGAAGGTATGCTTACATATATGATATAAAATGTTTTATAATGAAAAAATTACATTTGAACGAATAATACCTTGATAAAGTTTGGTGTTCAGCCAACTGAAATATTGATTAAATAAATGATATTTTGATCCAATATATGCCTTTTTAATTAAAATATAGTAAAATGGACTATGAAAGTTACCCGATTTGCAACTGCTATTGACTATGAGGAAAAACGCGGCATGACAAGATTGGTTAAAAATTTCCAAATAAAAAACAATATACAATTAATTATGATTCATTACCAGGCAATAAGTTATAATATAATCATGTAAATCTTTATACATATATTAAACCAATGGGATAGGTTTTGATTTTACAAGGGATTCTATATTTAAACATGGCTGCTTACTATAGATTTAGGAATATTGGACGATAGGTTATAATAGGTTAAACATGACAGTCATTTTTGACATGCTGATATACAGGTAATATGATGTAATGATTTATTGTGCATTCATTATATGTTCGGTTATTCTCACACCTATATTCCTGCCCGTCTCTCCATGGACCGCGATTTTTACACTTCTTACAAAAAATATAGATATATCAACATACCACAATACGAGGTGTGTTCAAAAAGTATCGCGACTTTCGAATTTTCGCGGGTTACGTATATTCGAATTTCGATCTTTTTGTGGCTTTATGTTGGTACTCATGTCTCTCACTTATGCCGACAAGCTCGGCCATTTTGAATGTTCACTTAATTGCTGACAGC